GGTGAGGAATGCCCTGTCCTTGACCTGATAGGTTGTAGGTAAATAGGTAGGTAAGGTTAGGTCAGGTTTGATTATGTTTTTTCTTTTATTTCCAAGACATATAAGTATCATTTTTGGATTCAGGATGTCAAATAATGTAAGAATATGAAAACTTTGTCTTTTAAAGGAAACAGTTCACTTTCCTGAAATTAGTATTTTGCTATGGATTTATGATTTGTTATGCTCAAAATGATCAGAAAATAAAATAAAACCTTTTTGTAAAAACAATTATTTTCTATATTTTAATATAGGACGAACTATATTATATGTAAAATTAGGTTTGACGCGGAAGCTTATTACGCGTGGACCAATCATATTGCGTAGTTCAAACCTACGCATGCTGCATTGGCTGTAAGCAGCATGCTGATTGGCTGACAATGACGTGGCTGCATTCCTGTGCAAGGCACACATTCCTCTGCAAGGCACTCTTTTCGGAACGAGAAATGGAATATCTTCGTCTAGGGTGATCGTTGAGCCGTAAAAGCTCCTGATTTGTGCTAGTCTCAGCTCAAGCTACGAAACTGCTATTCCAGTTCAAAACCCCATGTTAAAAGTGAACTATTTCCTTTAACAGTCACTCAGACTCAATGTATACTTTTACCGAATTTTCATGGTCACCCTGGCTCTCATTCTTGGCCTAACTGGTGCAGCTCATCAACTCTGCTGCAAGTGTGAGTGTGGATTAGTGGCTTTACTCAGGGTCAGAGGTGTAAAATAAAGGATTTGGGGGTGCTTGAGCACTCCTCAAATGTCAAAACTTCCCCTGAAATTGAAAAATTCACTAGAATAGAATGATACCAGTTTCAGTGTACACTGGTCACTGACACCTTCCATTAAAAATGAAAAACAGTTATGTAGATAGTAGAGCTGCTAGGAAATGCATGTAAGTACCTACCAAGTACCTTACTTCACACTACAGAGGCATTTTACGCCACCATTCCGACAATGCCGAAAAAGCACCCCAGGCATTTTCATAATGCTCCACCTATAGGCCACCTTTGGCCTGACTTCACCAATCATTTGCCTCAGGATGGTTATCAACATATCAATATACAAGGGAAATATGTTCACAAATTTGGAAAAATATTTTCGTATATTGATCTCAAAATCAAGTCAGTTGGGGAAACTACGAGGAGCCAAACAAAAATTGGATTAGCCAATCAGCGGCTGGAGTGGGCGGGGCGATGACCATATATATGGTCATAAAATCAGACAACTTCATCTTTTCAATGAATCTTAGCATTTAAATGAAAAAATAAGGCATAAGAATGTTTTTTAACCACACAAGGCCTACACTCACCCGGTGCATAATTAACTGGCGGCTCTAAATCGCAGAGTTACAACGCAAGGTCAAACCGTGATTGGCAAATATGGCGGATTGAAACAGACGCGCCAAAAAATGTAAGCAGTACCGTGGTTTAAAAATGTCCTCATTTTTATTATTTTGTTTATGGTTTTTCTAATTGTAGTTAAGTTATTATTTTAGAATTAAATATTTCTGTTTATTGTAATTAAATTAAATCTTTAAACAATTTTCTTTCATAAAACCAATCCATTTATTGAATGACCAGCTGATTGCGACGCCCAGAACCTGCAGAAAAGCCGTTTTCCTATCGCCATTTTCGAGTCGATACACCGAATTTAATCAAATCACACCAATTCCTGGTGAAAAATGGAAGCCTTTTCTCTCCAATAAGTGGACGCGATACCGCAAGTACCGGCTTTAGGGTGGCACTTAGCAATAGGGTGAAATTTATGTCATCCGATTTTTAGGCGTGCGGGTAATTTTCTGGTTCCATTCCCGTAAAAAATAATGTGTGCAAAATGATTTTGAAAAATATTGATATTTAGGGGTCGCGAATTGAGGTCAAAGTTGACATTTTTTGGGGAAAAATCGACTTTTTGGAAACTACTTTAAACCTATTTGGAATGACATATGTGGTCATTAAACGTCATTTCCGACGTATTTTGACCTTTATTTGTGTAACAATTGTTTATCCCATCACTTCCGGCCGATCGTAGCCAGTCCAGGTCAGGCCAAGATAGGTCTGATCTGGGCTGTTTTACCCATGTCAGGCCTGTTTTGACCTGCGACCGGTGCCTTCTCACAGTGGAGGTCATATCCTCTGATTAGTGTGAGGAGTGACCGGTCTCTCCTGTTCCAAAGGGAGGACGAGCCCCACGGTTCTATCGATTCTTGAGACATGCTCCTTTTCTGTCAAAGAGAATGTTAAGAAGTTGGAGTCAGTCTATAGCCGGCGGGCAAAAGCAGAGGCGAGAGTGTGCATTGAGCTGCACTGGTTTATTGTGCTTTCGGGATGTTCTTCCGTGGGCGCTTCTTCCGAATCTAGTGCCATTGCCAGCAACAGACTTACCTGGCCGCTGCGGCGCGCACACGGAGGGAACGTCTTTGACGATGGCGACCATGAGAGAGAAACGCCGACTCACACTCCCAAGCGCATGCGGGCGAGCGGACGTCCCCAACAGTGAACTGGCCTCGACCGGGCCAAACTGCCCAACCGTAATGTGTGAAGAACACGTGAGCCTGTTATCAACTGCGGCATGGAACTTAGGATGCGACTCCGGCTGAACCGCGAATCCTGAATCGCGAGAGAAGGAGCGTCGACCGATTCTACGTCCTGGTGATGGGGAGGGGGGAGGGATTGGGGTGGCCAACTCCTCGCCGCTCCCAACCTCCCCTCCATCCAAGCACAGGATGCCATGCTCACAGCGCTGGGGGACTAAGAACTGGAGAAGCGGAACTGCGGCCTTTTACTTCGACGCCACGACGGCGAACAGCATGCTGGTGAGCGGTACTTAAAGGGACCCTCCCACCTTCAAAAAAGTTAATGAATTGGCATGAAAGTGATGTCACTCGGTTCAGAAAGAGCAAATACGAATATCTACCAACTTTCATCGAAAAATATTCACCGGTTTTCAAGATATTAGACTTTTACTTTTGTTTACTTTTTGGGATCTCCGCTGTTCCTAGCGACTTTATTTGAAAGTGCGGCATTGGTTGCGCGCAAAGCAGCATATACCACCGCGTGCTACAAAACGTTTTAGTCAAACATTTAACGGACGTTCGAAAGCTTGATGACGTCATCAGATTCCCGTAATGGTTAAGAGATAGGGACCACGCTGGTCCCACCCTGCAAGTAAAGGGAAGAAATTTCTTGAACACCATAAAGCTGCGGGGGTTGCGACCAGGATAAATGGTGGTTTCTGAGTCTGGCCGCAAACTTGGCTATCTCAACTCAAAACTAATGTTAAGGTGGGAGGGTCCCTTTAAGCCCTTATCGAGCAGAAGCTGAATCGGCCCGTCCTCCAGCTGGCCTGCCGGCACCACGTGTAAGAGCTGGTCCTAGAGAAGGCCTTCTCCACCTGCCCTAGAATCTCGAGCGGCCTCTAACTACATCCGGCTGTTTAAGAGGTTCAAAGGCGGGTGGGAGTTCATATAACAGGATCACATCGATGGCGTTCGCCGTCGACGACGTTCCGGAGTGGGACGAGCTGTTGGTCAGCTTCCATCGCTTCCATCGCTGGACTATGCCTAGCTCCGGGAATACTACCGAAAACTTCTGGAGCTCTGCGTAATTGCTCTCGGTGGAGTTGTTCCAAGCACGGCATCCGTTTCTCCGCCTCAGAGTACTCCACTGAGTTAGGTGGATGGCAAAGACCATCCGCACTGTGGATGCCTTCCTCTTCAGGGAGCGGCTCCGGCTGACGGCGGCCGAGGCCCAGGTCATCAGACGCTGTGCGCTGTCCGTTGCCTGCAAGTTTGCCGCCGCCGCCGCCGCCTGGTTTGGGACTCTACTGCCATTGCGCCGGCTCTGGACCTGACCTTCGTGAACTCGTTCTGCACCTACCCCGAAAAGGAGCTGTCGAAGGCGACAGTCCCGGTCTTCAGCCGTCACCTGTAGTACTTGAGCGATCGGCTGGTGACTGGAGCTTTTAGACCCCGACCCTCGGGCTTAATCAAGACATGGTGCGGGCAATAGACTTGTAGGAGAGGGAGGACGAGGACCCGCCCCATAAGTCCTTAGTGGACACTATGAACGCCGCTCTCGCGACCGAGACGTTGGCGAGCTTCCTCACACCATCATTCAAAAAGCTCTCAAGGATCCACAACCTGGACGCGGGGCTCATAATCAATGACCAAGGCCACTGGGAGGACAGCAGCTACCAAACCGCAGCTCGTGTAACTAGTCCGGGAGTTGCGTATGGTGAATGACTTCACCAGGCGCAGTATGGCGCTGATGTAGGACTGGCACTCATGAAAGACAAAGATTAGCGCCAGTTCTTCCTCCATGTCGTTGAAAAGATCACAGAAAAGGCTATCCTGACACCCGAAGATCGACTGCAAATTGCTAACCAGGCTACACACAAAGTGATCTGGGTGCCCGTTGCCCATGATGCCCCTCCCTCCAATGAGGCGCCAATAATCTATCTACTAAAGAGGAGGAACTGGAGTAGTGGAGTACATAGACCAGCGTTTCGGTGTGACCGAAGCTGCATGAAATGTCAATAAACAATATGAAAATTACTAAGAAATGCCTTATTATCATCCGATTACAGCGTAATAGGAAAGTCAGAAACGATTTTAATGATATTGAAATCTGCTACCAAAATCTCAATTTTGCCCTTGATTCGCGACCTCTAAACATCAATATTTTTCCATACAAATTTGCCTCCCTTATTTTTTACGGGAATGGAACCGGAAAACCACCCGCACGCATTAAAAATTAAAAAATGATTTTTAAGTGCCACCCTAACCGGCTTGTTATACCGTTTTTCACCCTTAGTAGTGGGGGCTGCATTTATGCCCATATATGGTCATCAAAAGTCCATTTATTGACCAATCCATTTTTTGACTTTCGCCTCGTAGTTTCCCCAACTGAAGTGCACCAGCACTGTGCAAACAAAAGGTCATTCCTGCTTAGTAGTCACGTAGTGCCTACCTTAGTTAACGCAGATTGTTGAAGTGCGTATGTCCAGAAGATCTGACGTTAAGTTTTCAACTCTCGTACAATGTATATCACGGCAGTCGGCACACTACAACAAAATTTGAAAATTATTTTCACGAAACCGCCCACCGCGCCCTGCAGCACCACTGTAAACAAGTCACATTGACCTCTATAGTAACCTAGACGGCCCACTGCCGCGCCGCGGCCGGCACGGAATCGTTCCCGCATGGGGGCGCAGTGGCGCCACCTGCAAGTGGTCAATGTGCGTGAAGTTGGCGTCGGATTCGGATTCGTATTCAGCGTCGAGTACCGAATCACTTGAAAACGTCATATCTGGTCAATTCGGGGACGGGGAGCACGAATATGACATTAATTTTGCCCTAGCAGGTATCCCTTATCCCTTAATCGTCCCTTAAACGACGGGGCGCGCCAAAAGTGCCTCAGGGGTTCTTCCGATCGCGAAAAGAATGGTCCCAGGCGATTCCCCGGGTCGATATCTAGCCGCACCACCACTAACTTCACACGTGCCTCATATCCCTTATCCCTTAATCGTCCCTTAAATGACGGGGCGCGCCAAAAGTGCCTCAGGGGTTCTTCCGATCGCGAAAATAATGGTCCCAGGCGATTCCCCGGGTCGATATCTAGCCGCACCACCACTAACTTCACACGTGCCTCATATCCCTTATCCCTTAATCGTCCCTTAAATGACGGGGCGCGCCAAAAGTGCCTCAGGGGTTCTTCCGATCGCGAAAATAATGGTCCCAGGCGATTCCCCGGGTCGATATCTAGCCGCACCACCACTAACTTCACACGTGCCTCATATCCCTTATCCCTTAATCGTCCCTTAAATGACGGGGCGCGCCAAAAGTGCCTCAAGGGTTCTTCCGATCGCGAAAAGAATGGTCCCAGGCGATTCCCCGGGTCGATATCTAGCCGCACCACCACTAACTTCACACGTGCCTCATATCCCTTATCCCTTAATCGTCCCTTAAGGGACGATTAAGGGCAATCGGGGCGCGCCAAAAGTGCCTCAGGGGTTCTTCCGATCGCGAAAAGAATGGTCCCAGGCGATTCCCCGGGTCGATATCTAGCCGCACCACCACTAACTTCACACGTGCCTCATATCCCTTATCCCTTAATCGTCCCTTAAATGACGGGGCGCGCCAAAAGTGCCTCAGGGGCTCTTCCGATCGCGAAAATAATGGTCCCAGGCGATTCCCCGGGTCGATATCTAGCCGCACCACCACTAACTTCACACGTGCCTCATATCCCTTATCCCTTAATCGTCCCTTAAATGACGGGGCGCGCCAAAAGTGCCTCAGGGGCTCTTCCGATCGCAAAAATAATGGTCCCAGGCGATTCCCCGGGTCGATATCTTGCCGCACCACCACTAACTTCACACGTGCCTCATATCCCTTATCCCTTAATCGTCCCTTAAATGACGGGGCGCGCCAAAAGTGCCTCAGGGGTTCTTCCGATCGCGAAAATAATGGTCCCAGGCGATTCCCCGGGTCGATATCTAGCCGCACCACCACTAACTTCACACGTGCCTCATATCCCTTATCCCTTAATCGTCCCTTAAATGACGGGGCGCGCCAAAAGTGCCTCAGGGGCTCTTCCGATCGCGAAAATAATGGTCCCAGGCGATTCCCCGGGTCGATATCTAGCCGCACCACCACTAACTTCAAACGTGCCTCACATCCCTCATCCCTTAATCGTCCCTTAAACGACGGGGCGCGCCAAAAGTGCCTCAGGGGTTCTTCCGATCGCGAAAAGAATGGTCCCAGGCGATTCCCCGGGTCGATATCTAGCCGCACCACCACTAACTTCACACGTGCCTCATATCCCTTATCCCTTAATCGTCCCTTAAATGACGGGGCGCGCCAAAAGTGCCTCAAGGGTTCTTCCGATCGCGAAAAGAATGGTCCCAGGCGATTCCCCGGGTCGATATCTAGCCGCACCACCACTAACTTCACACGTGCCTCATATCCCTTATCCCTTAATCGTCCCTTAAATGACGGGGCGCGCCAAAAGTGCCTCAGGGGTTCTTCCGATCGCGAAAATAATGGTCCCAGGCGATTCCCCGGGTCGATATCTAGCCGCACCACCACTAACTTCACACGTGCCTCATATCCCTTATCCCTTAATCGTCCCTTAAATGACGGGGCGCGCCAAAAGTGCCTCAGGGGCTCTTCCGATCGCGAAAATAATGGTCCCAGGCGATTCCCCGGGTCGATATCTAGCCGCACCACCACTAACTTCACACGTGCCTCATATCCCTTATCCCTTAATCGTCCCTTAAATGACGGGGCGCGCCAAAAGTGCCTCAGGGGTTCTTCCGATCGCGAAAATAATGGTCCCAGGCAATTCCCCGGGTCGATATCTAGCCGCACCACCACTAACTTCACACGTGCCTCACATCCCTCATCCCTTAATCGTCCCTTAAACGACGGGGCGCGCCAAAAGTGCCTCAGGGGTTCTTCCGATCGCGAAAAGAATGGTCCCAGGCGATTCCCCGGGTCGATATCTAGCCGCACCACCACTAACTTCACACGTGCCTCATATCCCTTATCCCTTAATCGTCCCTTAAATGACGGGGCGCGCCAAAAGTGCCTCAAGGGTTCTTCCGATCGCGAAAAGAATGGTCCCAGGCGATTCCCCGGGTCGATATCTAGCCGCACCACCACTAACTTCACACGTGCCTCATATCCCTTATCCCTTAATCGTCCCTTAAATGACGGGGCGCGCCAAAAGTGCCTCAGGGGTTCTTCCGATCGCGAAAATAATGGTCCCAGGCGATTCCCCGGGTCGATATCTAGCCGCACCACCACTAACTTCACACGTGCCTCATATCCCTTATCCCTTAATCGTCCCTTAAATGACGGGGCGCGCCAAAAGTGCCTCAGGGGTTCTTCCGATCGCGAAAAGAATGGTCCCAGGCGATTCCCCGGGTCGATATCTAGCCGCACCACCACTAACTTCACACGTGCCTCATATCCCTTATCCCTTAATCGTCCCTTAAATGACGGGGCGCGCCAAAAGTGCCTCAGGGGTTCTTCCGATCGCGAAAATAATGGTCCCAGGCGATTCCCCGGGTCGATATCTAGCCGCACCACCACTAACTAAGATATCGACCCGGGGAATCGCCTGGGACCATTCTTTTCGCGATCGGAAGAACCCCTGAGGCACTTTTGGCGCGCCCCGTCGTTTAAGGGACGATTAAGGGATGAGGGATGTGAGGCACGTGTGAAGTTAGTGGTGGTGCGGCTAGATATCGACCCGGGGAATTGCCTGGGACCATTATTTTCGCGATCGGAAGAACCCCTGAGGCACTTTTGGCGCGCCCCGTCATTTAAGGGACGATTAAGGGATAAGGGATATGAGGCACGTGTGAAGTTAGTGGTGGTGCGGCTAGATATCGACCCGGGGAATCGCCTGGGACCATTATTTTCGCGATCGGAAGAGCCCCTGAGGCACTTTTGGCGCGCCCCGTCATTTAAGGGACGATTAAGGGATAAGGGATATGAGGCACGTGTGAAGTTAGTGGTGGTGCGGCTAGATATCGACCCGGGGAATCGCCTGGGACCATTATTTTCGCGATCGGAAGAACCCCTGAGGCACTTTTGGCGCGCCCCGTCATTTAAGGGACGATTAAGGGATAAGGGATATGAGGCACGTGTGAAGTTAGTGGTGGTGCGGCAAGATATCGACCCGGGGAATCGCCTGGGACCATTATTTTCGCGATCGGAAGAGCCCCTGAGGCACTTTTGGCGCGCCCCGTCATTTAAGGGACGATTAAGGGATAAGGGATATGAGGCACGTGTGAAGTTAGTGGTGGTGCGGCTAGATATCGACCCGGGGAATCGCCTGGGACCATTATTTTCGCGATCGGAAGAGCCCCTGAGGCACTTTTGGCGCGCCCCGTCATTTAAGGGACGATTAAGGGATAAGGGATATGAGGCACGTGTGAAGTTAGTGGTGGTGCGGCTAGATATCGACCCGGGGAATCGCCTGGGACCATTCTTTTCGCGATCGGAAGAACCCCTGAGGCACTTTTGGCGCGCCCCGTCATTTAAGGGACGATTAAGGGATAAGGGATATGAGGCACGTGTGAAGTTAGTGGTGGTGCGGCTAGATATCGACCCGGGGAATCGCCTGGGACCATTCTTTTCGCGATCGGAAGAACCCCTGAGGCACTTTTGGCGCGCCCCGTCATTTAAGGGACGATTAAGGGATAAGGGATATGAGGCACGTGTGAAGTTAGTGGTGGTGCGGCTAGATATCGACCCGGGGAATCGCCTGGGACCATTCTTTTCGCGATCGGAAGAACCCCTGAGGCACTTTTGGCGCGCCCCGATTGCCCTTAATCGTCCCTTAAGGGACGATTAAGGGATAAGGGATATGAGGCACGTGTGAAGTTAGTGGTGGTGCGGCTAGATATCGACCCGGGGAATCGCCTGGGACCATTCTTTTCGCGATCGGAAGAACCCTTGAGGCACTTTTGGCGCGCCCCGTCATTTAAGGGACGATTAAGGGATAAGGGATATGAGGCACGTGTGAAGTTAGTGGTGGTGCGGCTAGATATCGACCCGGGGAATCGCCTGGGACCATTCTTTTCGCGATCGGAAGAACCCCTGAGGCACTTTTGGCGCGCCCCGTCATTTAAGGGACGATTAAGGGATAAGGGATATGAGGCACGTGTGAAGTTAGTGGTGGTGCGGCAAGATATCGACCCGGGGAATCGCCTGGGACCATTCTTTTCGCGATCGGAAGAACCCTTGAGGCACTTTTGGCGCGCCCCGTCATTTAAGGGACGATTAAGGGATAAGGGATATGAGGCACGTGTGAAGTTAGTGGTGGTGCGGCTAGATATCGACCCGGGGAATCGCCTGGGACCATTCTTTTCGCGATCGGAAGAACCCCTGAGGCACTTTTGGCGCGCCCCGATTGCCCTTAATCGTCCCTTAAGGGACGATTAAGGGATAAGGGATATGAGGCACGTGTGAAGTTAGTGGTGGTGCGGCTAGATATCGACCCGGGGAATCGCCTGGGACCATTCTTTTCGCGATCGGAAGAACCCTTGAGGCACTTTTAGCGCGCCCCGTCATTTAAGGGACGATTAAGGGATAAGGGATATGAGGCACGTGTGAAGTTAGTGGTGGTGCGGCTAGATATCGACCCGGGGAATCGCCTGGGACCATTCTTTTCGCGATCGGAAGA